TCCACGTCATAAATAGGAGAACCGGATGAAATGTTGCTTTATTGTGATTGTGACAGTGGAGTTTGGGTGAAATAAATGATAATAGAGAATACAACATTATTTAAATAGAGGAAAACCTGAGTTTTATGTTGGACATTTTAAAATAAGCAAGTCAAGTTTTTCTATAATACAGCCACACAATGTGTGAACATTGTGATTCTCCAATTTAGAAAAAAGAGGTTAAGCCCCAGAATATTGCTGGAATTAAACCAGGAATACAGATAAGGTGACTTAGACTGGCAGATAAAGCATGAAGGTACACACAAAAACAATCCTGAAGACTACGGATGTAAGAGGTGAGAAGAAATTTCTACAAATACAAGAAATGATAGAAGCAAGGCCAGAGGGAGTGGTGCTATGAAAGCCAAGAGGAGATGGTCTCAAAAAGAGCACCAGCAGGCAACAGATACAGAAAAGAAACGCTCAGAAAAAACAGGTGACACTTAAAATTCTCAGCTTTGTGTACTAACACAAATTACATTAAACATTTTTTTAAAAGACTACAATAAAAATCGAAATGTATTGCTAAGAGGAATGTAGGGGGACAGATAGTCATACTTCAAGTCATAAAGTAGGATCTTTAAACATACCCTTTGAATTTGCAGTTCCATTTCTTGGTCACTATCCTATAGACATAGCCACGGGTATAAATGATATATATTTAGCATGTCTAATACTGAAAAATAAAATATAATCTTAAGTGGCCATTAGTAGGGAAATGTTTTACTGTGGTAGATCTAATTTTTTGGAATACTATACTTTGTACCAGTTTAAAAAGAACATGGGAAAACATTCCTGGTACTATTTTCTAAAACAGAAGATTGTAGAAAGAAACCATTGCCACTTACCCATATATTTGTGGCCTTTTTTTTTTTTTTTTTTTTTTTGGCGGTATTAGGGATTGAACTCACGACCTTGCGCTTGCCAGGCTCGCGCTTATGCCACTGAGCTAAATCCCCACCCCAGCTTCATTTTTTTCAAGGTGTGGAAGATACAGCAAACTGATCACTGATCTCTGAGGGAGAGGGATAGGAACAGAGTAAAGAAGGGGGTTAGTTTTTACCATTTAAAGGATTTCTGCAAATATATCTAATGTTTTTAAAGGGGTGTAAGTAATCAGGAAGTGACTATGTAACAGTGCTGAAGGGTGACAAAAACCAATTTTCTCAAATGGGGAAATTAGTGAATAATGAACATAAAATCAATTAAACCTTGTTTTAAGCAATATGAGTTTGATGAGAAAATATTTTTAAAAGGGCCAGGAGAGTGCACATGTGTTATACCAAAGATCAAGTAGTAGGAAAGGACCTACAGGGGACTTGAGGGATGGGTCTTCATAAACTGTTGATGAATGCAGGCCGAATTGGGGGAAAGCGGTATGGCCGAAAGGTAATGACTTGGGTGAAGCAGGACTGTGGGGCACTTAAATGTGGAGCTGAACCTGTCGCTGACCAGAGTAAAAGGAGAATGTGACCAAGGACTAGGGGTTGCTGGGAGACTTTGAAGTCCATCAATTTAAAAATGGGACCAGTCTCCAAAGCCTTTCAAAGTTAAAATTTTCCCATAGCAACCTATGGCCTATAGAAGTGGTAGTAAACCTACTGCATACAATTACTGTGTTTTTCTTTTAAGACAAAAGAATGTTTATGTTGTTAGTTACATTTATTTGTAGTCATCCACTTTGTGATACTTTAAGTGGATTTTGAGTTGCATCTTGGCAGTTGGTTTCTAAAAGATTCAGCATCACAGGCCTCTGGCTTACTGAAGGAAAAGTTAGTATTTAGACCAATTCACAGCTAGGGTTTTACAGGGGAAAGAACAAGGGGAAAACCACCAGAGTAATTTAAATGAGGGGCCCTCTCTTTGTGAGGGTGGCTGGGTCAAATCCATCCTACCACCTGGTTTTGTGAGTCAAGTTTTACTACTACATTACGGCCACACCTATTCATTTAAGCTCGTTTATAGCAGCTCCTACACTACAACAGCATAGTAGAGTAGTTTTAACAGAAACCATGATTGGGCAAAACTCCCAACTATTTACAAGTTGCTGACCCTGAAATACAATAGGATTTAGGCCAGTAAGATGTTTACAGGTATGTGCATATACATTGTGAAAGTTTACAGCTCATGCTACAGTGGGAATGAGAAAATTACAAAGTTGACAAAAGAGAGGGAACTTGTAGAGTAAAATTTTTAAGAATAAGGACTGCAGAGATCACTTACTGACTGATTTACTGACAAAAAGATAGAATAATGTAGAATAGAGGCCAGAATTCAAATTGTGGGATCATATGTAGAATGTTTGATGATTCAAAGAAAGTAAGTGGATATCTGTAAAAGATACTTCATAGATAACCTGTTGATACAGAGAATTTAGGCCACCTAATTGTGATCAGTAGATGCTTTCCTCACCCATATTTATTCCAATTCATATTCCCAGTTTGTAAAGCACTGAGACATTTCATGTTAGCTGATTCTCTTCGTATATGGCATTAAAGTTGCATGTTTGCAATACAGTTCTAGATGGTTTGTATACAGCATAAATTGCCTTTTTCAGATACAATATTATTGGATTTTAAAATCTGTTCACCCTTTTCATTATAGGTATATGAAAATTATCCTGCTTATGATTTAACTGAGAGAAAAGACTTCATAAAAACAACTGTAAAAGAGGTAACTTTCAGTCTTTCCCTGATTTGATCATTTTGGACACAGAAGAGTACAGAAATTATAAATATCAAACATTGCATATTTTTCAAAATATTTAAATCTGTCACATTTGATCCTTAAATTTCTTCAAAATGGATGGGGAGGCATGAATAGTTTGAATAGTTAATGACAGAATCTGAACTCAGTCTGTGATTTGAACCGTCACATATATGAGAACAAGTTCTAGCCGCCAGCCCGAAGCTAGAGAAGATTCATATTAGTAGCTAATTTTATATGGCTCCAATGACTGCTCAGGGTTACAGTCATAAAACTGATGTGAAAAGTGGAATATAATTGATGACCTATATATGCTTAATTATCTGTTGGGAATGGTAAAAATGTTTGTTTCATTACAGCTGATTTCTTGAGATAGAAGACAAAGATGACTTGGTCCCACACATTGGAAGATCTGATATATACATTATACCAGCAAAGAGAATGTATTTCCTTTTCTAAATCCTTGTGTTGGTAGAATTTACTAACCTTTTTATCTTGGGTGTTAATGTAAATTTATGAGTTTGTCATTTTAAATTGCATTTCTATGCTGTTTTTAGTTTAAAATGTTGCATGGCAGTAATTGTTACTTTTATAGCTGTATTTTGTACATTTTGAATTTCTCTATATAGGGCCATAGATTCCTGAATCGTGGGTTTTAGTGTACTTAATATTAGCTTGCTTAAGGCATACTTTTAATCAAGTAGGACAAAAACTATTGTAAGTGGCATTTATACATGCGGAGATTATTGCAGTATTTAGTATGAAATATTTTGAATACACAACTCTTCTGTCAGTGAACTCAGTGGCACTGTGTTCATTATACTAAATTACACAAACTGTCTGGATAACTAAGAACTACTTCTGCATGAGTATATATGCCAAATTGTCAGCATGACAGAAGTAACAGATGTTATTTTTGTATTTTTAAAAAACAATTTGTTGTATATAAAGTTTTTTTTAAATTTCTTTTGTGCAGATCAATTTTTAAACTCATGTAGGTAGATACTTTACACTTGTAAACTATGAAATGTCAGTGTTAGCCAGAAAGTGTGACAAAGGGAGCATTGGAAGTTGAAATTCATTGACATTGCAGGAACTGTGTAGTTCTGCTTTGCTTTGAAAGTGTCATCACTTTAATAGTTTTAGTATTAACTGCAAAAGCATAGATAATGTTTTGTATTAAGGCAGACCAAAATCAACACATCAAAGCTTCACAAACTCTGGGAAAGAGTTAAAAGAATAAGTACATTTGGCCTACATTAAGTGACATTTTTATTAACTACTTTTGACCATATAAATTGTTGATGTTAACAGGAAACCTGACCACCTTCATAATTATGATAAAAGTACTACGTATAATGCCAGAAGAGAACGTGTAGGCAGCAGCAGATATCTGTAACAAACTATTTCTCAAAAGTGGTAATATACTGTACTTATTTTTAGCATTACAGAAATTTAATGTGTTTGTTGGGTATTACATTTTGGCCAATCAAGATTCTACATGATCAATATATGGACCACTCCTGAATTTAAAAGACTGAACTGTCTTTTTAAGTTGACTGTCTTAGTTTACTAAATAAACTTTCTCCAAATTTTAAAATGAAACATGCTGCTTATGACAAAATTAGGTATTTGAAGTACCAATTAAGTGTTTTAGTCTTTGCACCATAGAATAGAAATATGTAAAAATGATATATGTTCAATGTTAATAGGTATTTTCATAGATTAGACTTGTTTCTGGACAAAGTTAGAACATCAAGGAAAGGTACACTGACCACAAATGAATGAGATAAGCAACTAAGACCTAAAAATTGGCCTTTGATTTTAAATATTTAATTTGTTCCTGTAAACCTTGTCAATAAAAAAAAAAAATCATTGGTGTTTTAAGTCTCTTGCATTAGATGTTTGAACTCATTCTAGGTTTAAGTATCATTTAACCCCAAGAGTTAGGATTTTTAAATGGAGTTAACTGGAATGATGTCGAATGATCTCTTTACTGATAGCTGACTGTTGCTGAAGTGATTTGGTTCACAAAACTTACAAATCAAGGTTAACATATGTTATGACATTACTGGAAGGGGGATAAAGACTAAATGCCTGTGACCTGAATGTATAAAGAGGGTTTGGAGGTAAACTGTGTGTGTGTGTGTGTGTGTGTGTGTGTGTGTGTGTGTGTGTGTGTGTGTGTGTGTAAAAGTTCTGGAAGATCATATCCCCATTTAATATCAGTGTTCAGCACTGCAATACACAAAGGATATTTGAAAAACAGGTCTAGTTTTTATTAAGTAGTTATGCACAACCAGCTACTCATGATCTGAAGTGAAGTCACTGTAAACATGTGTGTTCACTGCTGCTCAATTCCAAGATCTTCAGACAACATTGAAAACTCAAAACGCAGAAGTACCATTGTTCATTAACAAAATGTCAAATGAAGTACATCACTTGAAAAATGAGAAGCAAGTTTTTAAATACATGTACCACACATTAAGTAGGTTTTTCCCTACTTGTAGGTAGCACAGTACAAGTTTAAGTGCCCAAAAGAAGAAACTGAAATAATAATTTACTGTGAACCATGTCAAACAACATCTTGCACATGCTACGTCTTACTACATAACACTTTTAAGCTGAATACTTCCTAATCAATACCAATGAGTCTCAACCTAAATACCACCATTTCCCTGTCTTTACTTTGAAATATACAGCAATTGACTTTCTTTTGTATCATATTTTGATAAGGGAATGTCTTAAAATAAAGTTCACTGTACATTCTTTGCGTAAGATTATTTACTTTCTACTTACAAGCTGATCTACTTTAAATTTCAAAAATACCAAATATTTTGAAAAGTGGCTGTAAAGTCATTTTAGCTCCTTTATTAAAACATCAATACAATTCAAAGTTGTTAATAGACTTTTTAAAACAAAAGCACATTTCTAACTTGTAAATTGAAGTTTCTTGGCAACATAGGCATCCTGAAGAACCTTGAAACCAATGTTTATTGAACATGTTTGTTAAAAGTAAAAAAAAAGGAAAAATCTGGCCATGTCAGGCTCATAAATATAGCTTATAAAATACATTTACCAGGATAACCCACATTTTTATAGTTTTCCAGTGGACCTGCCTATGGAAAACAAAGTTATGCAACAACAACAGAAATAATTCCCAGAAATTGAATCCACTTTTAAAAAATGAGATGGGATTTTTATTCAGACAGTGTCTTTGCTAGTGGTTGCCAAAACTTAAGGGTATCAAAAATCTGCTACCTACTCAAATTTGGCTTTAAGAAAAACAGCTGTACTTTGCTTACAGCATACAGACCACACTCAGCAACCTGTTCTGTTATATGGCTTATATGCTGTTTAATGGATTGAGATTTTTTGCTGTTTTGCCAATGAGTGCATAAATACAAGCCACTTCAAGAAATACCTGAATTTAGTTTCTTTTTGAATACCCAATGGGAAAAAACATGTACAGTACAAAATAGTCTTCTAGAAACTTCATTTTGCCTTCAGAGAGTTTGTGGTATATCAAAAAGAAAGTTCTATCTAGATTTTTTAAGTACAGGTTAATACTGGAGCTATATAAAAATATTAAGGCTTATTGGTAAAGATACTAGTAAGTTTTCACAGAACAAAAACATGGCTTTATCTAGTTTGTTAATGATTCCTGCTTGATTTACTTGGTATCGTAATGTATGAAAATTCATCAGCCCAACAAAATATCTAGTCTCAAGGAAATCTCCAATCATGGAAGAATCTTACCTAAGTTTCAACTTAAGGTTATATTCTCCCTTATTCTGAAATCTGGAGGACTTTAGCACTAGTTGGCCCTGTAGAAAATGCAATTAAATATAAGTGCTTAGACGGACTTTGGGGGCAGTGCTTTCAGAGTGGTAAATTGGGTTTACATTTTCAGAACACTTCTGAAACATTTTAGATTTGCTACCTAGAGCAGGCGCGCACACGGACACACACACAAAATTGAGGTTTAACCTGTTTCAAACTCCCATTTGGGGTACAGGAGAAAGCTGGGTCCAGACAAATTCTATTTAAAAGGCTGCAATCTTGCTTGCTTCTCGAACACCACTCAAATAAGCGCCTGTAACCGTTTGTGGAAAATGCCTGTTTGTTGCCTGTTTTAAAAAAAAAAAAAATGCAGAGTTTGAGACATCTATAATGGTATCAAAAGGTAATACTTCAGGAAGCTTACACTCTCTAGTCTTCCTAAAATACTGAGCTGAGAACATTGAGCGAATGAGAAAGTAGCAATGACAAACCTCAAAGAAACAGGCTCACAGGTGAGGTAACAGCAAAAGAAAGCAAGAAAGATTCTAAGTCTGCACATGCCCCTCAGCAGCTCAGCTCAGTCTTATTGAACAGTTGTCTCCTGGAAGTGGCTGACACTTGTGCCTGGTGTGCAGCCACTAAGCACCTACCAAGCTCACTCTTTGGAGTACTCATTCATCTAGCTTTAAGATGGCATTACATCTCCCTTAAAAATCACTGGGAAGACAAAACAGCAACTAGCTCAAACTATGAGACCTGTAATCTCACATATACAAAATATACTGCCGAAGAAAGTGCTTAGTCACTTTTGTTTGGGGTAGGAAGAATGAGGTAATAAAAAGCAAACCAGTTTTACAAAGAAGCCTTACAGTCAGTCAAGAGGGGCATGAGGATTCCAAAAAGGCAAACAACTGGTTTTAAAGACTACGTGAAGAACAGTTGAGCCTCTCACCAGATTCTGAATATACCTGCTGGAACTCCTCGATTTCACTTCAAGAACAGGGTTGAGACACCAATAGTGGAAACTGGAGGAAGTCTTCACAGCTAACAGTGATGCTTCTGGGATCCACAAGCCAGCTGTGACCACACAAGCTTAATGTTCTGGATAGTGATGTCTGGGTACTGACCACCAGCTGAGCTTTGTAGAACTGTAAGTGGCTTTTTAAACAGTGCCTTGCTCAAATCTAAGGAGTCAGTCAAGAATCGCACATGCAACAGACTAAAGCACAATTCAGGCAATCTGAGGAAGCTAGGCAGGGTGATAACAAAAATCAAGTCTTAATAATCTTGGTTTAAGAAACAAGCAGTGAAGTTGGAAACTACAACACAAAAACAAGATTTCCCCAAAAGTAGAACAGAAAGAGATTAAAAATAGTAAAGTGGAGGAAAACTCAGGTGATCAGTCTAAGAGCTCCACGACAAGAACAGACAATCTAGGAAGAAAGAAGAGAAAGTAAGCAGAAGCAAGAAAACTAGGATTGAAAGGCACCAGTTTCTACATTACAAGGAAAGAAGATACAAAGGATGCAAAATCAGAATAGCAACACTTTTCAACCAAAGTAAATCAGGAAAGGAGAGAAGCATCTTGCAGTATGGTTTGCAGAGACCCAGCAGGGCAGCCTATTGTAAACCCAAATACTGAGTTCAAATCCAAATACTGTAATCCTTTCTAGTTTTCCTCACAATCCAAAAAGTTATATTTGTAATCCCATTGAGACGTTACTGCAAGTTAATTTTAACCTACCACCATGGCAAGAGTAAAGATACCAAGACATATTCCAAGTTAAGGGCAGCCAAGGGGTCCTAAGTAAAATCCTTATGAGGACATGCGGACAAAGGCCTTGATCCTTTGTCCAGAATTTATTATCTCGTCAAGAAGGGGGATGGCTCAGGGATGAGTGACAGTGAGGATGGGTGGGGGGAATTATATGAGTAACTTGAGCTGGCTAGCCAGGTGTAAGATTGGCATCTCTGTAAATTGCAGAGATAAAGATATGCAGAAGAATCAATTTACATAAGCCAATTAAGGTAGTAGTGGAGTCGGTTTGGTTTCTGATATATAAACTCTTGTGCCCTGGGGAGTTATAACCTCTTATCTTGAGGCTCTACCCAGTTGACATTTTTGGAGCTATTTGCTCTAACATCTTGCTGTGCTCAATCCTGTACATACCTGTATTGTACACTATTCGAGGAAACAGGACTGTCTTATCAGTATAAGGAAATGAGTCTCCAAATAATCAAAGTCACAATAATTGTTTTGCATTCAAAGGGAGTCACTGGAGTAGTCCCCCACAGCAGCCTGCGGTGACCTCAGATCAGTCACATCAGTCCAGTAACAGCAGCAGATGGGGCCATGGGAGAGGACTCCAGAAAGCCAGCTCACTTTCTGCTGAATTAAAGATGACTGAAGGGGAGGGAGACTCCAGGGGAGGTACCAAGGTAATTAAGCTAATGACCAAGTAGCCAGTAAGACTGCCAAAAAAGACGGAGCTGTGCGCAGCTGACTGTGAACACGGCCATGCAGCAATGAACGTTTACAGGGCCATGTGACAGAACCGATACCAATCTAATTAACTGTGGTACAGCGAGACTAATAGGACTAAGCTTTTAATCTAATAGGAAGTTAGTAAATAATTCTGCCTATTGTTAATCAGATGATGGAAATACAAACATGACTCTAGAATATAAGGAAAATCTACAAGGCATGAATGGTAGAATTCAAACTGGCAGCCTCTTACAGTGGGAGCTTGGCTCCCACGATTGGGAATGGCTCTGCTATTTTTCATAAGACGTGAGATTATCTACCTTGATTTTTAAACTGTGGGCAAACAGCACTTTAATTAGAAGAAAGAAATCAAAATGTAAGTAACTGGATTTGAAATCAAGATACAAACCTCGCCAGCAAAAAAGACAGTTCCTTGTATTTCTTCAGCAATGATATCATAGGCCTCCCCGCTTCCAAATGTCTTCACAAAACTGTACGCCATCTGGATCCATGGCTCTGTGCTCCATCGAGTGACAAAATACTTTGTGGGGTCTGGGACTTCCTGTGTCCAACAGAAGCAATTATAAAAGAGAATCAAAAAGGAACTCAGATATGGCACAACTCAAATTAGAAACATACACCCCACCTCCCTAAGGACATGAGTTTATTGTGGTCGCACCTTAAAATGCCGCTTCTCAGAGTGTCCCTCCCCCACCTGTAAATTCTTCCTCTGCCCCAAACTGAACACAATGGCCTTGCTTTACCCTCATCCATCAGAGACAGTGTGCCCACGTTCTGAGGCCATCACCAACGGCTGAGTTCAGCTCTTCCCTTCCCCATCGCCTGGCCCAGGGGAGGTATGGGATGTCAGAGTCCTTTGATCACCGGCTTAAATTCCCCACAAGTTTCTCCATAAATCCATAATATAAGGATATATTTTATATTCATTAAACACAGAATGTTGCCTGTTGTGTTCTGACAAGCCTCAATGTGGAAAATACTCCTCTAGAAACTGCTACACTCCAAATAACTAATTTTTAAAGTTTGCTTTTAAGCAAACTTTTGAGGAAAAGCCCCAAGATAAACAAGGCATGGTGGCACATTCCTATAATTCCAGCATTTGGGAGGCTGAGGCAGGAGGATCACTGCAAGTTTGAGATTAGCCTGGGCTCAAAGTGAGCCCAAGGCCAGCCTGAACTGCATACTGAGACCTTGTCTCCAAAAAAAAAAAAAAAAAGCCCTAATATAGGAACTACTTAAAGAACTGAAAAACATCAAGCTCCCCAAATTCAAAGATCCTCTCCAAAAGTGGGCATCTGAGATGAACACACAGTTCTCAGATGAAGATATACAAATGGCAAATAAATACAGGAAGAAATGTTCACCATCACTGGTCACTCAAGAAATGCAAATTGAAACAATTGAGATTTCCTCTTACTCCGGAAAGAATAGCTGCTATCAAGAAATCAACTGATAACAAATGTTAGTGAGGCTGCAGGGAAAAAGGAACACTGCTCCACTGTTGGTGGGAGTGCAGACTGGTGCAACCACTGTGGAACTCAGTATAGAGATTCCTCAGAAAACTAGGATTGGAAGTTCCATTCAATCCAGCTATTTCCCTCCTGGGTATTTTTCCAGAAAATTTGAACAGGTCATATCACAGATTATATATGTGCACTCATAGCAGCACAATTTGTGGTAGCTAAATCTTGGAAACAACCAAAATGCCCATCAACTGCAGAGTGGATGAAAAAAATGTGATATTTTATACAATGGAATACTACTCAGCTATAAAAAGGATGATCTTGAGGCCTTTAGAGGTAAATGGAGGCAACTTGAAAATATCCTCATTGGTGAAATAAATAAGACTCACATTAGTAAATATATTGTCTCTCTAGTGTAAAAAATAATAAAAGCTGACAAAATGGGATCCAACAATACATATTGTGAAAGTGAAAGAGAAGGAAAGTGCTCTAAAGAGTATTACGGTATGTATAGTGTGTAGGATAGATGACCATATTACTGAATTTCTGTTGAGACACTGAGCAGAAGGGTTTGCACTGTCAATGTGTGAGTGTGTAGCCACTATTTATGTTTTGATTTTGTGACTTTGGCAACTATTTTTTAAGCCAAGCATCAATGTGGAAAATACTCCTCTAGAAACTGTGCTACACTCCAAGTAACTAATTTAAAAGCAAACTTTTGAAGAAAAAGCCCCAAGATACACAAGGCAATGAGTAATGTATCAACTAGAGAATCTATGATGTTAATTTTTTTTTGAATTTGGTATTGTTCTACCCTTCTTTTCTGTTTTTCTATTTTGTCTAATTTTCTTTCATTCTGTTTTGAAAACCTGTATTGTTATTGTTTTGAGTTTGCTGTTGTTATGTCTTTTGCTTTTTGTTTTTCTCTTCTGACTTTTCTCTTTTTAAAATAAAATTTTAAAAAAAAGATAGTGGAATATAATCACTATAAGACCTACTTACATGATACTGGGCACATAACTGGCTGCCTCTCCTCTTCATGAATATATGTCATTTTTAAGTAATTTTAGTTCTCTTTCTGTTTCTTAATTTGAGAAAGGCATAAAATATAGCCATTTACAAATCTCTACAGATAGTTAAATTTGGAAAACTTGTAAATATAAAGCACCTTGAGCTCCTTAGAGAAAAAGACTGCTTATGTGAGGTACAGAAAATTCTCAACAATGTTCTTTAAAAGGAAGCTGCAGTCAAAGCTAGGGTTTGGTAAACATACCAAATCAATATAGCAAATGTTAAACCTTTTCTGTGCTTAGGAAAAAACCAGGTTGTGTGTGATGTGAGGAGAGGAAGGAAGACTACTTAACAAGGAGGTATGGCACTGCTGTAGGCCGCAGCGTCCCCCAGCCACATTCCTGTGATGAAGTCCCCAGTAGTCACAATGGCAATGTATTTGACGACTGAGTCTTTGATAGGTAATTGGTAAATTAAAATGGAGTCTGTAGGATGGGCATAAAGCAATCTGGCTGGTGTATTCTCCTAAGGGGAGGGGATGACACAGACACGAAGGGAAGACAGTTACCTGTAAGTCACGGAGAGTCCTCTAAAAAGAGACTAACTCTCCGCCACCTGGACCTGGGATTTCCGGCCCCCAGACCAAGAGGGCAAGCAGTGTCTGCTGTCCGAGCCACATATCCTGAGGATTTGTCATGGCCGCCCTAGGGCAGCACGCTAACTGGGACACAAGTGAAAAGGGTCGTCCTGGGGAGAACAGCAGCGCCTACCGCCTTGACCCCCTCCACACAGCCAAGGCGGGGGCCTGGCTCCCTGCAGCTAGGAAGCGCCTGCCGAACCCGGAGCCTCTCTGACCTGCTCCTTGAACAGCTCCCGCAGGGTGGTCATGCACTGCTGCAGCACCTGCTTGTCATCCAGGGTCCGAATTGATGCCACTGACTCGCCAGCAATCACCGACATCAACACGCTCTGCTGCTTCTGCAGGCACAGAGGAAAGCGGTTCATTTTTGCTTTTGGTACAAAGTCTCTACAATGCTCAGCTCCACAGTTTTCTTCTCACAAACTGAATTGCATTACAGCACCCCTCCAGTCAGCCCTTTCCCTCACAACCGCACTTTCCTCATCTACCCACTCCACTGTCTTGCCCGGGAAAACCACCACCACCAGCCCAGAAAGTGGTAACGCCACACTCGGGGTTTTGTGGGGTGTTCTCATATCAAACCCTATTTCAGAAGTAATAGAGACTGAGGGGAAATCTGCAGAAAAAGAACCAGGGAAAAAACCTCAAGTAGCAAAGAAACTGGCGGACTCCCACATGAAGCCTGCTTAAACAAAGCTTCTTGGAACCAAGAGAAAGTGGGAATTAGCTTTTGTGTGGAGCAACATAGCTTCAGGGAAGTCACCACACCCCTCAAGTTTCAGGGGTCCCCTCCCTCTTCCTGACCCCACCATGAACCTCCCTCTTCGGCCAAACACACCCCAGCCTTCCAGCTCATGAGAAGACTGGGAGAGGAAGTTCTGAATTGAATTCACTCATTTGCTGCACCATGGCCAACTCCACCGAAGAATTACTCCCCTCAGCGTGAAATGATACTTCACAGGTTCATGTCCCAGGAAGCATCATTCCCACTTCAAAAAAATACAGCAACTATTAGGGTTCCTTTCCATAGCACGAGGGTCCTCCCTAAATAAAAATGCACCAACAATTCACTGGGATAACAAATGGCAGAGTAAAGACTTGTAGCACCTGGAATACAGCCTCGATGACACCTGGAATCAAGACACTTGAAAAACAATCAATTCAGTGAAGAAAAGAAGGGGTAGATCTCCAGGAATCGAGAATAAGGCAACACAGCTGGGCGTGGTGGCACAAGCCTGTTATCCTAGCACTTGGGAGGCTGAGGCAGGAGGTTCATTCCAAGTTTGAGGCCAGCCTAGCTTACACAGTGAGTTCAAGGCCAGCCTGAACTATATAGTGAGACTTTGTCTCAAACTTACCCAGAAAGAAAAAAAAAAAGAACAGGAAAGCTAAAAACTACAGAGAAATTGAAGGAACTGGAGATAACCCAGAGAAAAGAATGAGGACGACTAGAATGTAAATTCCAGTTCTCAGGGAGGGGGACTGGTGTCCACAAACTTAAGGTATGCTCAGTAAGGTCAGCAGCTCCAGGAAGAAATAACTGACCAGGCCAGCAGAACTCACCCAAAGAAAAGCCCATGGTTATTACAAACTGAAAAATGTGATTTTCCTCTTAAAGAAACTCCTTCCTTATCACAGGGTGGAGTTGGAAAAAGAAATCCAGTGCAATGCCCGCCATGTTTGAAAGTGTTTAATCAGAAGCCATTCTGGGAAAGGGTTAAGCCTGAGATAATTAACTACATTTCAGGGTTCTGGGATCATCCTACCACAATGGCTGGATAGGAGACACTCATAAGAGAGCTGTGGAAAAGGTGTTGGCTAGACATAGACTTCCTACACCTAGAAATCTTAAACTCAGGCCAGGAAGGACACAATGGTCCTACCCTCTGTGATGAGAAGCAAGGCAGTTGCATGTAGTTTTCGGGGTGCAAGGTCTCAAAGTACTTGCACTAAGTCCAGTGCTTAACCGCTTTCCCTGACGCCTACACCCAGTGCAGCTCAGTAGTCTGTTTACTTTTCCCACCTGCTAACATGTGATCAGAAAACACTTAGTTGCAGTCAGCTGCCACTGCGTAAGGTGTATGGACAGATAGGCCTCTGGAGCAGAGAGGGGTGGGGAGAACCTCAAAAATCCACAAGCAATAAAGCAGAGAAAGGGGCTGGGGATTTAGCTCAGCAGCATAAGCGCCTGGCTTACAAGCACACAGTTGTGAGTTCCATCCCCAGTACCAAAAAAATAAACAAAGCAGAGAAAGCTGTAACTCCTGGTGCACAGCAGGAAAGGAAAACTGGGAGCAACTGCAGTGAATGCAGCCCTAGAGCAGACAACACTGCCCAACAATACCCAGCAGGCACGGGGGGGGAGGGGTCCTCAGCATTCACATACAGTACGTGTGGAAAACAACAGGACTCATTAGGGACTCAGGACGCCTTCCCCGAATCTCAGATTCCAACGCTGCAGACCCTGGAAAGAAACCACTCATGCCAACACACGGGAAATTTTTGACTCATTTCTCTTTTCATTACTTTTGGGCTGGGGGGCGGGGGTGGTGGTACCAATTCATGTCCCAGGAAGCACCATTCTTTCTGGTTAAGATTTTTTTCATTTATTATTATACACCTGTAGTAATGATTACAGTCATCATGAGAAGTTAGTACATGTACACCACACACTGTAATTCTTTTTATGTCCTCCTCCCCCCTCCTCACTCCACTTCTTTTCTTCTGTGCTTTTTCTTTGTTTTTTTCTATTACTGTTACACAATTCTATTTCCTTTTACTCCATAATTCAACCCTTTATCTTTCTTTTCTCATCTTTTTATTTTTCAGATTTTACTGCATTGCCCGCTTCCCATTCTATCCATTTTTATTAGTATTACTATCAAGCTTTATTAGTCTTTATATATTTAGGTGACTGTACTATTATTGTTGAATTCTTTTGTACTGTTAACAGTTGTTAAACAGTAGTTATTAAATTGCTGGATTTGATTTGTCACTGCATCTATATTATTATTGCAGACCTCTTTTCGATTGTTCAGGGTCTTACAGGTAGTTTTATTGGTTCTTATAGTATGCCAATATTCAGTTTGCCTTTGATTCCATTATTGTTGCTGATTTCTTTGCTTTGTCAATGGTGACACAGGTGTTATTAATTAGTTTTTACTGAATGCCAGTATCTGCTTCTTTGTATCACCAATATTACAGCAGTTCATTTCTGGAGAAATGGGTGCTGGGCCAATTACACCATATCCTCCCTCTTCAAATTAACAAAAGCGATCAGATCTTAGGACAGAGGTAAAGGCCTATTAATAGTAGTAAGTCAACACCTTTCATTAATAACTCCCAATGTGCATTTCTTAATCCAAAGATACAACTTGACAGACTGGACCAAAAAACCACCCAGGTCTGCTATATGTAAGAAGAAATGCATAGATTACAAATCAAAGAATGGAAAACAGTAGTCTATGCAGTGGGAAATCTAAATAAGCAGGAGTAGATAATCTATTTTCAGACAAAATGGACTTTAAGCCAAAACTGATTTGAACTGAAGAAGGTCACTACATAGTAGTTAAGGGAACAATTCAACAGGAAGAGATAAACAATTATAAATAAACATGCACCAAACACTGGTGCACCCAACTGCATAAAAGAAACACAACTGGACATAAAAGATCAATATAATTATAGTGGAGGACCTTGATACCCACTAACAAAAACATGTAAACTAGACAGAAACATCAATAAAGAAATATCAGAAGTTAAACCACCCTGAGTTTGAGGCCCATCGGGGCTACTCAATGAGCTCCAAGGCAGCCTGAACTACATAACAAGATACCCCATGTGTATTATCATGGTACTATAAAACCAGAATTCAATGGGAAAAAATGACAGAAATTATACAAATACATGGACATTAGACAATGTACTCCTGAATAATCAATAGGTCACAGAATAAATCAATGAATAAATTATACAGTTCTTATAATCAAATGGTAATGCCAATCCACACATCAGAACTACAGGACATAATGAAAGCAATTCAAAGAGAGAAGTGTATAGTGGTCCATGTCCACATGAGAAAAACAGAGTGAGCCCAAATAACTCAATGAAGCATCGCCAGTTCCTAGAAAACAAGAACAATCCAAATACAAAGCTAGAACAGGGCAAGATATTATAAATATTAGGGAAAAAATTAATGAAATTGAGACTTTAAAATAATACAAAAATAAATTACAAAAAATCAATGCATCAAACAGTTGGTTCTTTGAAAGAATTAACAAAGTAGACCAACCCTTTGCCAATCTTAGCAAAAAAGTAAAGAAAATGTTCAAATCAATGCAATTAGAAATGAAAAAAGCTAAAACAGGGCTGGGGATTTACTCAGCGGCATAAGCACCTGCCTTGCAAGCAGGCAGTCCTGAGTTCGATCCCTGGTACCGATAAAAATGAAAAAGACAAAAAAAAAAAAAAAAAAAAATGTAATCCAATAATTGGAGAATCCAAAAGAAATGGATTCCTAGATACACATACATTAATAAAAGTGAACCAAAAAGATACAAAAACTTCTAACACTCCAGTAATAGGCAATGAAATTGAGGCAGGAATAAAAAACCAAAATCAAAACAAACAAACAAAAAAAACCCCTATCCCTAAGAAAAGTCCAGGACTGTATCAAAACTTCAGGGAAGATCTAAAACTCTTTAATGAAAATGAAAGGGAAGACATATTCCCAATGTGACTACAAAACCAAACAAGGACCCAACTGAATAAGAAAACTATAGGTCAATGCCTCTAGTGAATACGGAATTAAAATGTACAGCATTATGTAACTGTACCAACCCCCTAGGATGAATGTAATAATTATATCCTGAAAATGTGTACCAATAAAAAATTTTAAAAAAAGAATTCACAAAAAAATGGCTCAAATGTAGCTCAGCCAAATCTCATGTGCAAGGCCTGGTTCAATCCCCAGCAGTACCCATAACCACATGTGTCTGTGCATATACATACATCACACACAGACAGAATCTCCACAAGGTTCATTTGTTTCTGAACTTGACACATGAGCAATTACTAAGTTCTATACATTTCTATTATTATTTTTTTTTTTTATCGGTATCAGGGATCGAACTCACGACTGCCTGCTTGCTCTATTATTATTTTTTATCTTTTTGAGACTAGATCTCACTATGCAGTTCAGGCTGGCCTTGACCTCACTTTGTAGCGTAGGCTGGTCTCGAACTTGCAATGATCCTCCTGCCTCGGCCTTCTGAGCGCTGGGATTACAGACGTGAGCCCCCATGCCCAGCTAAATTCTATACTTTTAACAAAAGGATTCAAAGTATGCTTTACAGATGATTTTACCTGGGGATCCATGTCATAGTATACAGCAAAGAGCCCCCGCTGGCTGGCACTGGGAGGAACATGGCCAAAAAAGTCAGCCCCTTGAACTTTACTGTCCCAAAACCTGTATGGAAATTGCAAGGCAATCTGAAAAACAAGCAAGAGAATGATGGGTAAATGTTTTCTGTTTCAAAATTGCAGACTTATACCTAAGAAGCAACTTGCAGCTCGACTCTAAAGCAAATCCACACATTGAACATCTTTCATCTTTCCCATCTTCCTATAGCTTTAGTTTTCTCTCAGCAAGTTTCTTATTTTGGGAGTTTGCAGTACAGGGAATCAAGCCCAGGGTCTTGCACATGCTGGGTAAGAGTGTTATCACTGACCTAAAACCAAGCGTTTTAATTTTTTTCTTTTTTTTTTTTTGTGGTACTGGGAATTGAACTCATGACCTCACGCTTGCCAGGCAGATGCTTACACCGCTGAGGTAAATTCCAGGCCCTTAAAATGTATTTTGACACAGGGTCTTGCTAAATTGCCCAAGCTGGCTTCAAACTTAACGATCTATCTCAGTTTCCCCTCAGCTCATCCAAATTAGCAGAGATTACAGAGATGCCATGCCTAGCTTCACATTTTTACACCACCGGTTCCCTCAGACCAACTGGCAACCCACAGCAAGCAAGGTGAAGTCAGCCCAGGAGAGCCCTGGCCTGGGAGCACAGTGTCCTTGTGCCATGTGTCATTATTCCCAGATCTGCTTATAGCAAATCCTGATTCTGAATAACAGGATTCATTCTCTAGAAGGTCAAAACTCAGACTTCAGCCAGCCTTTTGTTTAGGGTAACACCTGTTGGTATTCTTCATGAACGATTATTCAAATGAGATCTTTGAACTTTATTTGGGCTCATAAATGACCCAATGTATGTCCCTATAGCACAAGTCCTGTCATCTGACATTTTTCTCGCCAGTCACCTTCTCAATGATGCCAGCGCCCAAGCTGTTGATAGCTTTCATCTTTTTCTCTGACAGTGGTGGATTAAACTGAATGGCACCTTTCTGTAGTATGGCCAGTGGAACAGTGACTAATACCTGTGAAAAACAATTAACAGTTAACACACACACGCAGAACAGCTGAACCTAAAAGCACACCTACCCAGTGGGTTCATTTCCAGGAAAATCAACACCTGAGGAATATTCCTCTCTCTTCCTGGTCCCAAGACTGTCAATATCCCATGTGGTTATCCTATAAGAACAAGGGATGGCCTGAGCAGTCATGGTTGCTCACTGCTCAAGGCTGCCTAGCTGAGAAGTGGCATCACAAGGAGGAATTTGCATAAAGGCCCTATGGTTAACAATCATTCTGCATCTGAAGAGAGAGACTATCACAGGGCAAGCCTGAAAAGCAGGGCTACAAAATGAAACAGCTCAAAACATGGGGTTAGGAGAACCCCTGTATTGTTCCTGATACTAGCACATGGCAAGCCCCACAGCAAGACCTGCTCTAGTAACCTTGCAGGATACAAGTAATGTTTAAAATTAAAACTAAGATCCATCACTGTGCTTTATAAGTGATAAAGCACACAGCAACATAAGGATTATAATCCTAGAAAGTCACACAATGTTTTCAAAAGGCCTCACTGGGGAGGGCTGAAGAAACAGTAAGTTTAAGTCATAAATGATTCCCAAAGCCACATCACACCACCAGGCCATCGAAGACCTGTGGCTACAATCAGGAAGGGCCACTTCCACCAGCCAGTGAGGCACCTCCTGCCCTCTTCTGGACTCTGTGGTTGACAGCTGGATCTTGGAGCTTCTCCTGTCCCTGCTCCCAAAGAACCAAGCAGTGAACCTGAGCCTGTCAGCAGAGGCAACACACAGGAGTGAAGCCCAAACACTCCTATCCAGGCTCAGGCAAGAAAGGTCTGAGGCTGGCAGGGCCTGGTCTTGCTGCCAGGAGTCTGGAGAGAGTGTGCGTGCATGTACATGCGTGTGTGTGCATGCACGTGTGTGCGCATGTGTTTTTTTTTTTTTTTTTAATCGGTACCAGGGATTGAACTCACGGCCACACACTTGCAAGGCAGGTGCTTATGCCACTGAGCTAAATCCCCAGCCCCCATGTTCATTTTTCAATAGCTGCAGAATGAGAGTCGAATGGAGCTGAACCAAACACCCTATCTACCTCACCTCTCACCAGAGACTTCATATATTTGACTTCACCCTTATTCCAGGATTACAGAAAGCAGAGCATCCTTTCTATGACTTCTGTCACTATTTTCTGTCACATGAGAGCTACATGGTAGAAAACATGCTTTCTATCCTCATAAGTTGACAGTTTGTTCATAGATAACAGCCTTCATGTGACCAAAACCACTACCACAAAATAACAAAATTAGCCACCTGAATGATATATGAGAATTGCAAGGAAATAAATAAGACCTAGTTGTCTTCTTTATGACCAAAAACCCAAAAAAGCTTCCATAAGCATAAGAACTTGAATAAAGGCAAATGACATGAACACATTCTAGCTAAGAATGTATGCTACACCTCAGTGGAAACCATCCAGGTTGGTAGGCCTCGTGTTGGGGACTGGAAAGCATCCACTCACATCTTTGGGAAGACTTCCAATACTGCTAAGTGCTAGCTACATAAACATAAAAATACTTGGTATTTGAAGTGCACCTGCAGCTTTGTCTTTGTTTCTCTAGAAGGTTTGAATATAAAAACGGACAGCGCATGAGCCAGGCCTGGACCAGCAAAGGGTGACCAGGCAGAGAAAGCACAATCAGGGTGCTGTCCTGGACACCCCCTGCTGAGATCAGACACAGAGGCTCAATTGTCCACTGACCTGCAATTTTAAGAGATGGGCCCTTAAGAAAGGTTTCCTCCTTGGAAGAACCTTAGTACATGACGGGCATACAGACAAGGACACTGTACCTGGTGTCCCGAGCACACTGCACACAGGAATCAGGAAATGTTAGAAACACAATCAGTCAGTGAGACCAGCAAGACTCTCAGCAGGGAGAGCTGTGCATCTTTCCTGGGAGCTCCTCCCAAGGGATTCCAGCCTGTACCGGGCCTGAAACACTCTGCTAGCCCCATTCTCCCAGCCAGCTAATGGTAGGAATAATTATCAGGACACACCCCACCCAACTCATCCTCCAGGCCTGTCTTGCCAAGGCAATATGCAGTCCTGTGCTGCTGAATAAATGTCAAGGACCAGGGAAAGCAAAAAGCACAGCAGGTCTGGGAACAAGTGACAGCTTCCGAGGGTTATCAGAGCTCATCACCCCAAGTCAGTGCCTTTGTTCTCCAATACGACAAAAATCTGTGATTTCAGGGTTTACTACTACATGGCTCATAAGTGAAAGGATTTCGCCCTAGATAGGACACTGCAGCAGTGAGAGCCGGGACCAAGGGATGTTTACCTTGAGGTCATTTTCCCCGCCCCTAGGCAATTTACCTGTGGCGCGAAATGAATTCCAATGGGCTGCTTGGGCATCAGCAATGCCCTTTAGGCACCACCCCAGACCAAAGCTATAGTATGCCCCCCACACCATGTGTCTGGCAGAGAAAGCCAGACGCCACAGTCATGGAGTTTCTCTTCACATCCTTAAAATAAAGCCCACTTTACTTTATATTCTGTCTTCTAACCTTGTGCCAAAAATCCCTATCAATAATTTCACCTACAAAAAGGTAAGTTAGTGTAATTAAATTATGTAGAACCATAGCTTTGAAATGAAAACATAGAACTTCTCCTTTTATTTCCAATGTAGAAAAGGTTTCATGGTACAAAGCACAGAATTAAAGAAAAATAGATTTCTTTAATGCAGGACTTCTTGGAGCTTTTAATGTATTCCTTTTAACCCTAAAAGTGGAGTGATAGCACATAGCTAACTTATTTGACTAAAGAATTTGTGCATGTGTGATGATGAGGACTGAACCCAGGGTCCTGCATGCAAGGCAAGAGCTCTACCACTGAGCCACATCTCCAGCCCCTGGCTAAGGAATTTTTGCATCCAGGGCCTTCGTTCTAAGCTACAACCCTAGCCCTTTTTAATTTTTTATTTTAAGACAGGGTCTCACTAAATCCCTAAATTGCCTAAACTGGGCTTAAATTTATAATCCTCCTGCTTCAACCTCTCAAGAGTGCTGGGACTACAGGCCAGACTGACCAAGGAATTTCTTTTTTGCTTAATTCTCAGAACCAATGTACCCTACAAGGCATTTTGACAAACATTAATTAAATTCTACCTGCCATGAATCCAGATAGAGTTACATTAATTCAATCACCTGCACACTATTAAGTGGACACAGTTAAACTGTCAGAAATTCAAGAAAGCTCTAGGTGGAACACTATAGGCAAACCATGCCATGGGAAAAGACTGTTTTCCTTCCCCGCAGACCCATGCAGGCAGCAAGGAGTGCAACCGAGAGGAGCCCAGCACTTACCTTTTGTGCAGAATATGCCGTGCCATCTGTCGTGGTGACTTGCACTTCATCTCCAGTGTAATCAATGCTCTGGACCTGCCCAAGCCAGACAATTATGAATAAATGAGGGCTGGAACCACACGATGCAGGACCCAATCCTGTTTGCATTAAATAAATTTACATCTCTAAGGTTATGGGGACTCATTCCCTGGCATGCAGTAATCTAAGTAACCCTTATAGCTGAACTCAGGGAATTCAGACTTATAAACAAGATGTCAAAATATGGAAAAACTTTATGATATATTGGAGAGTGAAATATTCATAATCACCTCTATTACTAGAACAGTCTGTAATCTGAAGCCACTGAGAAAAGGATTTGATGGGAAAACTTAAAAGTGAAAATAAGCTGCATTAGGTTTGAAAGGCCGTGAGTAACTTAAAACATTTTCTTAATGAACATGCACGGAGGCTATGGTTTCCAAACAGTAACTGTGGCCTGACAGGGGCAATGCTATGACTACAGGCTACAACTATATCAAGAAAATACCAGAGACACTGGCTAGACATGTCATCAAAAACCCATCTGCTGAGAATCATGCATCCCAGATGTCCACACCCCAAGACAAGGCAGAGCCAGCGTCTCCTACCCCCGTCAGTGCTCACCGGAGACTGAAGCCGAATGTCAAGCCCTTCAGCCAATTTCTCAATGATTACAGAGTACCCAGGTGTTAGGAGAGTATGGTCACCAGCAAACTGGGCAAAGAATTCATTATGATCCCAGGAGCGAGCAGACACCTGGGAAACAACAAGAGATGTTAATCTTCAGGCAGTGTAAATCTTCAAGCTTATACCAGAAGGTCACTAAAAGGAGTTCCAGGCAGGAACAGACATGCAGAGCAGGAAGGTGAAGACACCAACTCTGCAGGAGACATAAAGGATGAGGATGAGGAACAGAGCAGCCCAGGCAGACACTACTGTTGGGCAGAAGGGACTCTCTCAGTAATGCAGAGGAGAATGTATCTCAAAACAAAAGTTCTGGATCACTTTAGCATTGGTCACCGATTTTAAAATATAAAAGTTGATTCTGCATATTCACAACTCTGGCGAAGGGCAATTCTAAGGGTGAAACTACATTTGATTAACTCCACAGAATACTCCATAGAATTAATTCCGTGCTACCCTCCTCTTGGAAAGCTCACAGCGGGTGAAACAGCACGATGTTGCAAAATGCTGCAGTTCCAACTGTAACGCAGAATGGAGTTGGAAACAGAGTCAATCATCGATGGTGTTTCTATTCAAAATACAGAGTACTACAGTGCTAGCTTCACAGTTGGTTAAATGGACAGAGCAAATTTAAATTTATTTTTTACAAGGTAATCAGGCCAAACTGCAAGAATGCTGTATTTTGGTTTCCTGAGAACAGTGTGTTTAGACTCCACATTTCCAAAGAAATCACCCCAGGGCTTCTGTAGAGGAAAAGAAGGGGATGGGGGGCATTCACAGGATAGGGCTCGTGGCCCAGCCCCATTTCATGCAGCAGCCCTTCCTCTCTTAGGTTTTTACAGACTGAGCATCTTCACATAGAATCTGAAGGAGGATTTTTCTGGTTTAAAAACAAAGAAGTTAAAATCAGTGTGAGGCTGGCTGTGTTGGTGCACACCTGTAATCCCAGCACTCAAGAGGCTGATACAGGAAGATCACTATGAGTTTGAGAACAGCTTGGGCTACACAGTGAGTTCAAGGGCAGCCTGAACTATGCAATGAAGCCTGTCTCAAAAAACAATGTGGATTAATAATGCTTTGAAGTTGCAAGGATCAAATCTCTGAGCAACAGAGTCATTCCTGCTTCTTTATCCAAGCCAACACCAACTGGATATTTAGATCTACAAGCAGCACATATGCAAAAGCAAGTATTTTCCAAGTCTGTTTCACAAACCCATGCGTACCTGGTGGAGATTGCTGCCACAGGCGTACTCCAGGTTACTGAGGTGGAACTGGAGCACCTGCCCTTCCAGCTCGCTGAACTGGATGCCAGATTCCTTAATGAAAGCTTTGTAGATCTCCTCTATCTTTTCTGGAATGGAACATACCAGAGCAGAGAAAAACAGCTTTAACATGATTCTGCCCAATCCATATCTTTTACCTGGCAAACCAAAAGGTCCAAAATCTTTCTCCAAGTAAAGTTGGAGGAAAGGGTTCTCTTATCAGGTCAACGACCTCATCTCAGGATGTAAAGGCTTAATGGAAACAAGACACAGAGAGTTCTATATCTGCAAGAATGTTTCATTTATTCTTACTTGAAAAACTCGCTTCTTTTGCTCAAGACACACAGAAGTGCCCTCGCCCATAAATGCACCCACACACAGAGGTCCACCATTGCCTTTCTAGTGCTACTCCCATCGTCTCCAAGCCCAGTTCCTGTAACATCTCCCCTCAACTAGGAGACCTCGACAAACTACCAGCTATAGGCTCTCCCAGTCAAGAACTTTCCCTGTGGACAGTCCCCACATTGGCCCTCTGCCTCAGTACCTTTAACAGCCACTTCCCTGTGGATTGGATAATCCATTTCAAAAGGTACAGCCGCGCAGGGCTAGCACATATTAGTCATTTCCAAGGTGGTGACTGCTACCTGTCCACTAAAACAACTGCTTAATCTTCCTGATAAAGTCCAGCCCTACAGGGCCCGCCCCTCCCAAGACCCTTCCCTATCCCGCTCCTTCCATCCTGGCCTGCTGGTCCCCAGGATGGTTCCCTGTCACCAGCACCAACACTTACCTACTCCATCTAACTAGAACTTTAACAGACATAGCCCCAAGAAGTCATTTCAACTACCATCTTCATAACTGGGGGCCTAACAGGTAGGGGAGGGTTCGGGCCTCATGTCTAATTTCAAGTATCTTAGCACAGGTGACTTCTAATTTTCCCAGCAATGACAACCACCCAATGCATATGCCACAGACTCCCAGATTCCTGTGGAGCATCGTGCAGACTAGAAACCGAGCTGAGTACCAGTAAACTTTTGTTTCTGTCTTAGTCTGCTGTGCTTTTCTACAACTAAAGCTTCTTGTTAAAGCTGATCCTCACACTCGACTGCAACATGGAGATGGCCAAGACACCTCCAGATTCATGCCAGGTTTTCGTCCCCAGCTCCCTGGGATTCTGGTTACTATTGGTGCCTTTCTCTTTGGTGAAGGGTAAAGAACCAAGACTGTTAAAACAGAATATAAAATTAAGTATAAACAGACTGGGAAAGGTCTTAATGTAATTTTTCATGTAAGTAATATTTGAAGTGTTTAGCACATATGCTTTGAAATAAACTCTGGACTCAGTACTTATACTTCGTTTATTTTGGTATCAGGAATCAAACTCAGGACTTGCACTTGCCAGGCAGCATTTACGCCACTGAGCTGTACACCTGGCCCCTTTGTTTTCTGCAGCTACATGCTACTGAAGTGAGATCTCAGTGGTCCAAGTACTGACAGGTAGAACAGAACTATAACATTTATATAGAGATGTGTGTGCTACCAGGAAAGCTTTTCCATAAAACACTAAGACGAAAAATGACTTGTATGTTATTGCTGGCCCTCCCATAGTAACTTTAAAGTAAGGCCAAAGCAAAGTATACTTTTGTAACTCAGAAATGTAAAGAAAAGCCCAGTTAGCAGCTACCAGACGAGTAGGTACAAGACAAATTCTAAGAGCATCCTCCAAGTTGACCTGATAATTGTTGTCAACTCCAGAAAACTTAGCAACTAACCACTTGGTCTGGACACCACAGCATTTGATTCAGGGTTGTCTGTTGCCCAGAGTTTATTTCTGAAAATGTTCTATTAAGATTTGTTTTTTAGGGGCTGGGGATTTAGCTCAGTGGCATAAAGCACCTGCCTTGCAAGCAGGCAGTTGTGAGTTCGATCCCTGGTACCGGTAAAAATGAAAAAAGACAAAAAAAAAAAAAAAAGATTTGTTTTTTGACACTTTCCCAGAGCGATCACAGTAGCAGGTACAGTCTCTCAGAGAAAACTGTAAAAGGAGAGACAAACCATCTCTACTACTGACACATTTACCCCAATTAATTTGGGGTATGAAAAACATATCAGTCTAGAGAACTGAGATTTCTCCTTTGCAAAAGAACACAGAATCAAAGCAAATAAACATCTTATAAATTGAGGTTAAATGTTTCCACTCCAATAAATACTATGCCTTCAAGAACTACAAATGAACACATTCAGGTCACTAAATTGTAGCTTACATAAATATTAACTTAAGCAGTAGCGTATTAAACCTCAGCTGGCACCCTCAGGCAAATGAGTCACTGTGGGCACTCAACTGCTCACCGAGGTGTGGTTAATGCTGTTCACTGAACCACCAAAACCAGAGGATTCTGAATTTAAATTCTTAAGTTATAACACCCTTTCTTAAGCAAAATATACCGGGAAAAATCATAACCTACTGCCTTAAGAAATGAAAAATCCTGATATACAGAAACCTTTATCTAGAAAACGTGTCACAGGATGATACTTTATTCACATAGGGCTTCTTTCCTTAAAAGTGCGTGCCTCTGAGTGATTTAAAATTAAACATTTAGGTGACTGTGTAAAACGCCAGCTATTGGGCAAAGTAAAGGTCACATGTGCAGCATCGGAGACCCCCAGGTAAGCCCATGGTCCATATGGGATTTACGAAAGGACCCTCCCTACTGCAGACGGCCCGGCTCACGCGGGAACTGTGCTGCTACTCATCAAGCTTAGTTAGGGCGACACTAAGACACACAAGCGGAACACCATTCTGCCCATACCTCCTAAAGGGACATCTTGGAGCTGAGTCTTATCCTTTCTCCACTCAGAGACAACATCCAAGAGAGCATTAAAATGAAAATCCATGCGCTTGTCAATGGTGGGGTCAGTTATTCTTCCACCTTCCTGAATTAAGTCACATCTTTCTCCAAATTTATGCATGCTGATGCCAAGCTTCAAAATAATAAGAGTAAGAAGGTGAACATTTTCCCAGGGAAAAAATATTCATAGGTTCTAAGCTGCAATTAGACAGAAGTGTCACGGAAAAAAGTCTCAAAAGTAAAGCTGAATGTGCTTCGTGGGGAGGAGCTGCAAAGCGAAGCGGTCAGAAAATGGCATGGAATCCCAGATGCCTGAATTCACCCGAATGTGAGTGCGACAGCAGCAGCTTCCCTGCCATGTGCCCTACGCTGCCAGCTACCGTCTTCATCAGACACTTGGCCTCCTCTGTGGACCTTCATGGGAATGAAGACACAGACACACAAACCCTCAGAGAAGCTGAAGTTGGTTTACCATCTATCAGTAAATGTCTAGAGAAAAAATCTTGGCCCAACCAGGTTGCCAGATAACAGACAGAATGCCCAGTTAATGCATTTTCAGATAATATTTTTTTTAAAGTACTAGGTATATCCCTAAATATTGCATCCAAAACATCCCCTATAATTTTTTTTCGGTATAGGGACTAAACCTAGGGCCTTCATTTGAGCTACAGCCCTGAGCCAATCCCAATTTTGTGTGTGTGTGTGTGGGGGGGGAGGCTCTTGTAAAGTTCCTAAATTGCTCAGTTTAGGGCTTGAACTTGCGATCCTCCTGTCTCAGCTTCTCCCAGTGCATTATAAGTGCATGCCACCAGGTCCTGCTTTCAATGAAATATTTAGGACATATTTGCACTAAAAAATTAAAAACCCCATCATTCAATGTGTTAAATCTGGCAACCTAAAATTATGAACTAATCAGATGGCCTGTAAATAACACACAAATAAAATTAAAGCTTTTGGAAAAAGAAAATCTTTTACATGCCTTCACAGAAAAGCAGAATTTTGCTTGCTCCTATTTACTCTGCAAAGAGGATGACGGGCTGCTGTGTGTCCAGGCTGGAAGCACACTAATACTGTGGACCTTTTTGTTGTTGCTGCTAAGGATGGAATCTGGCTATCACACCTGCTAGACAAGTGCTCTTATCAATGATAAGATGCATATTAATGAGGTACTATGTACAAGCAAACCAAGATAGTTTTTCTTTGTCCACAATACAAATCTTAAACAAACAAACAAATAACAACAACAACAAAAAAAACCTCACCTGCTCACACATTAGTGCTACTGGGTTATTAATACAGCCATTGACAATCTGGGGTCCTCTTCCCACTACAACACCTTTAAAGGATTTATCATCCCACACTCGGCCTCCAATTCTGTCTTTGGCTTCCAGGATAGTTACCTAAAAACACAAGCAGGGCATCCAAGTGGGACAGGATAGTCATACCAGGTAGAGTAGCCAAAATGCACAGTAATGGCATTAAAATACTCTCACAATCTACTGTATTTCACAAGCTGCAACTTTAGTTAAGTTTGAACAGAAGCCAAAGCAGATGCTCACAACAATTTGAGCTCTGGTGAGAGAATCTGAGTGTTCTGCTGGAGGAATCCCTCCCACTGTTCCCTCTCAAACCAGGTAATGACCAGATTTCACCAGCTAGTACATGAAATGAACTTTAAAAACTTGTGTTTTGTGTTTTTTTTTTTTTTTCTTTGTCTTTTTCCTTTGTATCGGTACCGGGATGGAACTCATGACTGCCTGCTTATGCCGCTGAGCTAAATCCCCAGTCCAAAAAACTTGTACTGAATAATATTCTGTAAGAGAAATAAACTACTAGCTGATTTTTCTATGAACTATCTATGCATAGAGAAAAAAATTCCTTTAGCATTGCAAACAGAACTTAAGCACCTAAGGCATGACTATTACTTTTTTAAAAAGCTGTCCCACTGTGTGTGAGGATGACATCAGTAGCCAGCCTAAACAAGTGAGTCCCACTGCCAGGCTACTGATCTTCACATTTCTAATGCATGGGGATATGAAACTGCTCTTAAGTGAGACAAGGACCATCTCACCTGTAGCCCTGGAATTCAGAGTGCCTCAGTTTGCTGGATTGCAATTGCTGAAAATGTGAGTCTTATTTATTGCAAGACCAGCTCTTTCATTTCTGGATCCCTAAAAGCATGACTTTGAATTGCTTGAGAAGAGGCCCTTGACTTCACCATCTCTCAGTTACTTACAGGAATCCACTTCTATTCTGAACCATTAGGGGGATGGCTGGTCCCCAGGCTGTCTCCTTCATCACTTGAGTAACAGGAGTCCTCTGGACACTCTTTGTCAGGCCTAAACACTTCCTCTAACTAGGAGCACCCCAAGTCATGGTTCCTCCCTCCCTATCCCCTTACTCTGACTTCGACTGAACAGCAACCCATCTGTTTCTCACTTCTTTCTCAAAGGCTGAATGAAGTCAGTCTCTGTGGACTTTGAGCTTAACAACCCTCTCTGCAATATATTCTGTAGGTTTTCCTAGTAAAACATAACCAAAAAAGGTTGGCCCTATATCTAACATTGAAATAATCACCTAAGATATTTTGTAATTTATTTATTTATTTTGTCTTTTTCCTTTTATCGGTACCGGGGATTGAACTCATGACTGCCTGCTTGCAAGGCAGGCGCTTATGCCACTGAGCTAAATCCCCAGCCCCCTATTTTGAAGTTTAATGTCACAGAGAAAATATTTCACAAAGCAAGCACTTTCTATAAATCCAACTCAAATTCCTGTTTTGTCAGCAATACAATGTAATCCTCAAAAGCAAAGATTTTTCTTTTCCAGATTAAGATTCAAAGCATTTCTTTGGTTTGCACAGAAAAACCAAATGAGTATTTCCGAAACTTTTATCCAAGAAGGTGAATTTCCATGCTGTCTTCATCTCAAACTGTCTCCTTTACTGTGTTAATGATAATCTGTCAAGAACTCCTGCTTTAATGAAAAGTTAGAATTCTTCTGACTTGCTCACAAGACAAAACTCTTTGAAGCTGTGAGGATTTCTATCTTTTCTACCTTTCTTTAGTTAACTCAGTTTCAAATGCTGTTAACTTTTCTAGGGGTCTGTTGTAAAGACATAATGCATTTAATATTCTTAATTAAAATTAGGATCTAGTTTCTAAGTTTCAGAACTTGGACCAAAGGAAAAATTAACCATCTGTTTCTGCCTACACAGTCCCAAAATCTTACCTTAATTCCAAAGTTATGCAGTTGCCTAGCAGCTGCTAGCCCTGCTGGACCAGCCCCAACAATGATGACTGACTTCTAAAAAAAAGAAAGGAAACAAATCTCCAATCAGAGCAAGGATGACAACATACTGCTAGAGTCATTCTTGAAGGTACTAACTACCAAGTGACATTAGCTCATCTACATCTCTTTGAAGCCCTTAGAGTTATACTCCTAAAGAACATGAAGTACTAGTAGTACTGCTTAATCCATTCTCTGTCACCCCACTTTTTTTCCTGCAGAAACTATACTTGACATTCTCCTCTTTGGAGGAACATATTTTACAAAAGTCCTGGTGGCATAAGTCTTATGTGGTTTTTACTAGTATTACTAACATCAAACACTCTGGTATTGTATCATGACAATGGCAGTGGTATTGCTGAAGCCAGACACCTACATTGTGATAGTCTTTAGGAAGAAGATACTGGTCGGCTCCCACGGTAAGAACTCCTGTGTTGATGAGACCTTTCCTTGTCATAAAATAAAGTATCCTCTCCACCTCCTGAACACACCGAATGCGCACAAGACCGCGGACGATAATGTGAGGAATGCATTTCTGAGGCGTAAGAGCTTCCTGTGTTTAGAAATGAAATCAAAACTGTTAAAAAAAAAAAAGAAAAAGAACATCCAAGGAACTCAAATCAATGTCAAGAAAATAAATATCCCAACTTACAAGTGAGCAAAGTAGAAGCTAGGGAAGAGGCTTGGTGACAGAACACTTGCTTGCACTGCATTAGGCCCTAAACTGTATCCCAAAGGCAAAGAACCTAAATAGACATTTCTCAAAAGACACAGGTGTGGCCAATATGTATACGAAAAAATGTTCAGTATCACTGGTGACTAGGAAAATGGAAAGTCAGATGACAGTGATACATCACCTCATTAAATGGCTACTATCCAAAAAGCAAAAGATGATCAGAAATGCAGACCAGCAGTAAAGCACTTGCCTAACTTGCACAAGGGCCTGGCTTGATCCCAAGCATGGGGGTCAGAGGCTGTCAAGTGCCCATAAGACATGGAAAAAAGGGCTCCCTGGTACACTGATGGTGGGACTGTAAATTATACCCTTGTTATGAAAACAGTTCTGAAGTTCCACCAAAAATTAAACTACCATTTAATTTTGTAGTTTACTATCTAGCAATACCACTACAAGGTATATAGCCAAAGGAAACAAATTAGTATGTTACTGAGGTATCTGCACCCTCACATTCCTTGTGGCATTACGGTAGCCAAGACATGAAATGGACTAAATGCCCACCAACTGATGAATGGATGGTGAAAAAAACAGTGTATTTACACAATAGAATGCTATTCAGCCTTAATAAGGAAGGAACTCATGTTCTTTGCCATGACATGATGAACCTAGAGGACCTCATGTGAAATGAAATAAACTAGGAACAGAAAGTCCTCTAGAATCTCACTGAGACGCAGAATCTAAAAATGAATTCACAGAAGTTGTGAGCACAAAGGGAGCTCGCAGGACAGGCAAAGGTAGGATGTGAGAAAGCAGAGGTCAAAAAATCTCAGAGGAACAAGCTCAAGAGATCTACATGCATTATGGTCCAGAATATCACTGAGAATAGGTATTTTTAATATTCTTGCAATAAAAATATGTAAGCTTTAGCATATATTGAACAGCTTGACTTAGCCATGCCATAATACATACAAATTTAAATATGTCATGTTACATATTATACACAGACATAATTTTGTCAACTTTAAGGTCTTTTTTTAAAATCCTGGTTCCTCTGCAAGTTGAGCATAAAATTATTATGATCCAGCAATGCCACTCCTGGCTATATACCCCAAACAATTAAAAACACGACAAAATACTGATAGCAGAAACATTCAAATAGTCAAAAAGTGGAAACAGGGCCAAGGAAATAGCTCAGTGGTGCAGTACCTGCCTGGCAAGTGTACTGTTGGGAGTTTGAACCCCAGTACCAAAAAAAAAGTGGAAACTGCAATATGCTTGAGTCGATGGTCAATATGTGATATATCTACACGACAGAATATTATTCCATCATAAAATGAAATGACATTCTAATATATGCCAGAGCATGAAAGAGTCTTAAAAACCTGACACTAAGTTAAAGAGCTACTGTAAGCAACCGGCTGATTCAGACTGAGTTGATAGCAACTGAGGTACAAAACCAACTTAATGCTTGTATTGTCTGATTGACTTTGCAGACCTAAAACTGATAGTCTGAGCACCCATTAGAAGGACAATGATATGCAATAGAGCAACTCTGGGGCGGTTTTCTTCTGTGTTAATTTTGAAATCTAGTGTTATTCTGTTTTGCTCTATTTGATTGTTTTATTTTATTCAATGTTTTGTTTTGATTGATTTTATTCTGTTCTGTTTTGTTTGATTTTATGATGTCTAATGGTATGGGCAGCAATTCTGAAGATAGCAAGAGGCATTTTGGTAGTCATTATTGATTTCCTATTATCCTATTTTAAAGTCCTGTATCACTTCACTTTTTGGCTTTATTCTATTTTGTTTGGCTTTATTCTCTTTAAAATAAAATTTAGCTGGGGATTTAGCTTAGTAGCATAAGCACCTGCCTGGCAAGCTCGAGGTTGCGAGTTCAATCCCCAATACCAGAAAAAAAAAAAAAAGAATTTAATAAAATAATAAAACTCCAGAATAACTCACATCCAACATTTATCATTAAGACAGGAAAAAGAAGTTTATTCTTGCCTGATCAAGAATTTAAAAAAGAGGGGCTGGGGATTTAGCTCGGCGGCATAAGCAAGCGGTCGTGAGTTCGATCCCCGGTACCGATAAAAATGAAAAAGAGAAAAAAAAAGTGAAAAAAAAAAAAAAAAAGAATTTACAAAAGAGACAATTGAATGACATAGCAATTTGCACTGCAATCTAAGTTTCCCCTCACAGAAAATGACTGCTACAAAGGATGTGGTAGCAGATTACATCACCTTCCCAACTCAAAGGCCACTAGAAATCCAGACTGCTATAGAAATCTGGGCTCTGGCAGCAGGCAAAGGTGGCTCTCACCACTAGAAATAGGCCGGTGTCCTGGTTTAGCAACTTACACCTTCTTTGGTCACCCTAGCTTTGGAAAGACACTGGCCCATTTCAGATTCAGCTGAACAAAGCCTCAGCCTCAGCCTCAGCCAGGGTGTGACATTTAGAACAGGCACCAAAGGAGTCCCCAACCCAAGGCTTGTCTTCTACTTCTTTTTGCCAATCCCCATTGGGAAATGTCTTGTAACATAGCATGGCATCCTTAATCAAGAATCTGAAATCTGAAATGCTCCAAAATTTGAGTGTTGACACAGGGCTCAAGAAGACTCAAATATTAAAGAATTTCAGATGTTTTAGATCAGGGAGGCTTAACATGTACTTGGTGGTCCCAACTGGGAAGTGTTACTGGCATCTAGAGGTAGAGGTGCAGATTATTGCTAAATGTCTACGGTGCATAAGACAACATCTCCTGCCCCCCCAAGAATTATCCACCCCAAACTGTTAACAGTGCCAAGGCTGTGAACACAGCTGTAAAGCTGCCATCCACAAGGCAGTGCCTCCTCTTCTCCACCCCACTCAGCCACCGAGCACATCGTTACTCACTTTGCAGTTTGTGTACCACAGGGCCAGGATGAGGTTTCTCAGGGCCAGGTACATGGTGGGGTCTCGGGAGTACTCAGGAAACTCATAGAGCTCATCCAGTTCCATTACATCAGGCCGCACACACAGGGCTTTGCCACACTCATTGGGCTGGTAGAAAGGCTGGAAGTAGCGGTTCATGCCTGGAACTGAGAGGAGACACCAGCAGGCACCTCCTGCAAGCTGCAACCTCCAACTCCAGGAGAATTAAAGAGCAAAAGCAAGCCTAGAAGGGCAGCCTGGACAAGCCCCACATTTATCCTACAAGAACACTCGCTTCGTCCATCCAATTGGCAATGCACTCAGGAACAAATCATTTTCCCCGATTTCTCTCAAGTCAGTCATACCCTTAATTTCCACAGTAGAGAAATTTCAGAAACAATTTTTAATTGTGTTGAAAATATACTTTGTAAAATTTACCACCTTAGACACCTAAAGTGTAAACATATTTGCACTGCTGTGCAACAGATCTCTAGGGCTTTTTCATCCTGAAAGACTAAAACTATACCCACTAAACAACTTCTCATTATGGAAATTATTTCCAAAGTAACTTCTTTTTTGGCATTTTTCAATTATAAAATGGAATAATCACTGTGTCCCAAGGATGGGCTTACATGTAAGGAATACTCTGTCTGTATCAGTGATTAGAGAATATTAATATAACAGGTATTTACTCCTACAAAGCTGGGGGGAAATGCTAGAACAGTGCTATTTTGTAAACTTTTAAAAATTTACAATATCATAAACATTTTCCCACATCAATAAGCAAGACTTCAATGGCTATATAATGTACAAAGCCATAATAAAGCCAAAACAACTTTTTTTGCACATAAATCCTTAACTTATTCAATAACTTATTTAGGATACCTTCCTACAGTACCCATAGGGTTATCTACTGAGTCAAAGGGAATCTATTTTAAGGTTTTTGGTACAAAACTGCCAAATTGTCTTTCATAAATGTACACTGGCCCTAACAGGATTTCAATGCTATTACCTCACACCTTCCTAACTCCAGTCATTACCAGCTTTGCTTTGATCTTCACAGGTACATTTTAAGAAGGTCCAGTGTCACTAGACAGAAACCTTAAGATAGGACTACAATGTAAAAATGTATCTCCACTATCAAAAATACAGTTTGTTCATACACAGATGGTGGAAGACACAGGATCTTAAAGCTTCCCGGCTTTACAGTCGAGAGTCCGAAAATGTCTGTCCAAACCTCAAGTCCTGAATTATTCTGAGAGTTTTGATCACCAGTGGCATCATTAGAGAGACACAGAGAAAAAAGTGCTATTTATACAGTTCAAAACTGCTATTCCTCTGCTAAGTCAGAGTTCTTATACTCACTAACTTGTAATTGAAAGCTTATATCCACCTTTCAATTCAACACTCATTAAACCTCGTAGGTAATTAATAGATTAATGTCACGGGTTGTCCAAGTTACTCTGTGAAACCTTAACTGCATACTACCAGTGATCTGACTGATGTACAGCACAGTCATCATGCCTCAGTATTCTTGAGCAATTGGTTCCAGGACCTCCCAGGGATCAAGATCCCTGGCTGTTCAAGTCCCTTATATTAAGCAGCATGATGTTTACATATAACCTAGATATAGCCTTGAAATCATCTCTAAATTACGTCTAATACCTAACAATACAAATGCTGTTGTTGTGCTGTATTGTTAGAAATGGTGCCTACAACTGAAAGCCTGTTTATGTTCAGTACAAGTAAATGTCTCCAAGACATTTTCTAGCCAATGGATTGGTTGAATCCACTGACATGATGTGGATGAAATAATGAGGCATTAAATCATAAGGTACTTTACACATCATCTCAGACATTTTAAAAAAAATCTTGCCTTTGTGGGAAACACAAAGGAAGTGGAAAGGAGAGAAGACTAGCACAGCTCTCACCAAGCACAGCAGGGGGCCCCTTGGAGGGCTCCGGCCTCCCTGGGCTGGCATCACCAGTGGCAGCTGTGGTGGTGGCAGTGGCAGTGGCAGTGGCAGCGCGGTTCGTGCTGGTACAGGAGGGACTCATGCCCACGCAGTCAGGGTAGTAGGCAGAGAGCAGAGGTGCTGCCACGCTGTCTTTCAGCAAAGGAGGTAGGATGAGCATGGAGTACCACCAATGGTTGGAAACTTCTGACACTCTCTGAAATTCACCGGCAAGAGGAAGGGAGAGAAGGGCAGAGAGGAAACGCACATGCGGATTATGCCCAGGACAGATGGTTACGATTCATCATTCATCCTTAAGCCTCTTCCTCCAACTTACTTGATTCTGTATCAAGAGTTCTGCACACAGATTTCAAAACAAAAATGGCTTATGATACTTAAGAGTTAATGTTTCCTAGGCAAAATTCTTCACAATATTCATCCTCCCTTCCCAAATTCTACCAGGGAAGTCTTTCAAGATGCCTCCACTTTTTTACACTGGAAGCCCCTTGCAGAGTTGGGAGTGGAAGATTTATGTCTGTGCCATGATCCGCTCTCGTCCAGCTCCTTTTTACATTTGCTATCTCAAGATAATTGAAACTGAAAAACTGGACCTAAAAAACAATTATCCTAAGCAGCAGTCAAGCATGACTGTTATTTTTTTTAAAGCATTACTGTTTTTTGCCATAGCTACCAAAAACAGCTGGAAAGGAAAGTATGCTACCACCAGCCAATTGCAGAAATAAACAAAAGAAGTTGGATTTGGTCTTCAAAATGTGATCACATTCCAGAGGTGACTTAAACATGGATCAAACCACCCCGCAGTGACTACTGCAATGAAAACAAAACACACGTGCCTTCTAAAGCAGCACGGCCACAGATGCCTATGTTGGTCAATCTTGGCTAAACAACTACATGAAACTTAAATGTATGCTCGAAGAATACTCAGACTTTGATACAGAAGAGCCTTGAAGCCCATGGACTCTTCATTTCTAGTTCTCCAGGCTCAAAGCAAATGCCATCTGCCATCAAGCAAGTTTTTGAATTTGTAACCTTGGGGTGAATCTAGTTTGGAGATGCCTTCTGTTTTCTTTTCAGATTCTAAATCAGAAACATATTTCAGTTTACCACAAGCCCCAATTAGTAACCTTATAACATACATGCAGTGCTTCACATACCCATCTTACTTGCCTGGGCCCTGGCAGCATGTGTATCTTCAAAATCTCCACTCTCAGCGCTTATTTTAGGTTGACCTACCCTTTACCAACCCACGTTGCACCCACATTGCCCCAGCTCCTTCCCCAATATACTAGGCCTGACTCTACCAACTACTGCCTTCTTAGTGCAAGTTGAGTCTTGGAGTACCACCAATGGTTGGAACTTGCACTAAGAAGGCAGCTGAGTCTTCAGCTCCTGACATCTGGACTGAATAATACAGAGGGTAAGTCCCTGAAAAACCATGAATACAGTCTGTTCCTACTCGCTTCCATTTGCTGGGTCATGCTGTTTGGCAGGGTAAAGAAGCCCTGCCATCTTGCTGGGAGCCCATTTTCTTTCCCCAGAGTCTGCCTGAGGCTGTTCCAACCCAACTTCCGCATGGCACAGGAGAAACGAGCAATGACTACTCAACTAGCACCTGCTCTTGCTAGTCAGTCACCAATCTTGCTTATGAGTGTCAACATGCAAATAAAACCCCACCCTCACCGATACCACTGAAGAAGCTGTCATTGATAGAACTGATCTATTAGCATATTTAAATACCCATTGTAGTAGCTTACAGTGTTCCCCAAAAGTTCATGTTCACCATGAACCTCAGAATGTGATCTAAGCCAGGCATGGTGGCACACACCTGTAATCTCAGCACTTAGGAGGCTGAGGCAAAAGGACTACCACAAGTTTAAGGCCAGCCTGGGATACATAGTGAGTTCAAGGTCAACCTGAACTACATACTTAAGAGTCTCAAAATCCCAAAATGAAAATAAAAGTGACCTTATTTGGAAGTAGGAACTTTGCAAATATTAGTAGTTACGACCTGGTCATACTGGATTAGAGGAAGCCATAAACTCAGCATGACTGGGGCCCTCAGTGAAAAGAGATACAGACAAGAGCAGACACAAAGGAGAGGCCAAGACTATGCTGCTGGCAGAGCTTGGAGCAGTGCATCTGCCCTCCAGCAAATGCCAACCACTGCTAGCAAAGAGCAGGAGCTAGAAGAGATAAGGAAGGCTCTCCACAGCTACTGGCACCTGGATTTCAGCCTCTAGTCACTAGAACTGTGAGCAAATATACTGCTGTTGCTTCAGTTTGTGTTAAGGAAACCCATGTACCACTGACAATTTAGGAATTGCTGCAACTTTAGAATCCACAGGAAGAGAAAAGAGGAAGGGGGAAGGTCATGGTTATAAGCCTCAATCTGACTCTTCTAACTGAATGCAAAATTAAGTGACGGATGAACATCCAAGAACCCTGCCAGTGTTTTTTTTAAGTTCTTATTTCTCAAGAATACAGCCTCTGACCTAAAGTTCAGATTCTTCTAGGTGCAAAATGGTCTCTGCAATATTACTACTGCCAGGATCTGATAATAACATTACCATGCTCCACTGAAAAGTCTTTAATCAGCAGCCAAATGGAGAGAAATTCAGAGTGCTACTCTCATTTAGTTAGACTACTTATCATCAAAGGCACAATTAACTCCAATCCAGAACATGCAGAAATACTTACCAGATCCTCGGGCATGGAACAATGATCTGAGTTCTCAGGCTGCAACAGAAAACCAAGCATTAATGAGGTTTGTTTATAAAATTGAGCTTCAGGTATCAACTCATCTTCAGTATAATACCTCTTTTTTTACCTACTATGTGGGCAAACAAAAAAATCTGCTAAATTGCTATATGAGTGAGGGTTTCAGAAGATAGGCAGGTTGTTTGTTTTTTAAAACAGGCAATTTCATGAGGATGGTTCTAATTTTAAAAATATATATATATATATATGGCCAGGTGTAGTGGTGCATTCTTATAATCCCAGTACTTGGGAGGCTGAGGCAGAAGAACCATTTGCAAGTTTGAGACCAGCCTGGGTTGTAGCAAGACCCTGTCTCAAAAACATTAACACACACACACACACACACACACACACACACACACACACAAGAATATAATCACTGTGGAGAGGAATTTGACAAAATACCAACATTTTAAATGCTCAGTATTTGGCACTATCTTTCTTTTATTTGCTTTTTTGACTCTTTGTTTTGTTTTTCAGATAGTGTCTTGCTATACAGCAGGCTGGGCCTGAACTCACTATGTAGTCCAAGTTGGCCTCAAACTCATGGCGATCATCTTGCCTGAGCCTCCCAAGTGCTGGGACTACAGGTGGGATTATATACCTGGCAGGCACTATCTGGAATAACTGAACATATATATACAGGCCATGCTCAGCATTTCTAACTTTGATATATCTTCCACAAAGAACCCGTAACATATGCACCACTAGATGTATTAAAAAATGTTTAAAGGGTTACTGTTTACAAAAGGAAAAAGCTAAAGACAATTGACATCTCCAGTGGTACACTAGAAAAATAAACTGCATTATATCCGAACAATGGCAAGCTACTCCATGTAACCAAGCTATAGGCCCAAGAACATGGCTCACAAACATTTGTTTCTAATACTTCTCACACTGCAAAAGCAGCTAGACCCCATCCTACAAGCCATTTATGTGAAGTGCAGAAACACGCCAAAACAAAATCTGCAGCTAGATTTTAAATTAGAACAGCAAGTAGGTAGTTACTCAGAGGGAGCAAAGCTGTGTTGAAGCCTGTGATTGACAGGACCCAAAACAACTTCAGGGTTTGGTGAGTGTTGGATTCTATACTGGGAGCAAGATAAATAGATGTTTTATGAAAACTCACTGAGCTGATTCTGACTTGTGCACTTATCTGTTTGAACATTATGTTTCAATTTTAAGATGCTGCCTAACCAAAACTGGCATACAACATAGCCTAGTGATTCTAGTCTTTGGAATACATTCCCAAGAAACTCTTGTATGTATGTGCTAAAAGAAACGTAGTGAGAATGGGAATGAATGCTCCAGAAAGCACTGAATGTTAACAGTCAAAAGTCAGAAAACAACTTTCACAGCCATGATTCAGGAAGATTCACTATGTTAGATTCACACAATGTAATACTATTCAGCAGAGCAAAATAAAAAAATAGAGCTTTAGGCATCAATATACACACACGTCAGAAACCTCCATTGTAAGCAGAAAGCACAAGTTTGATTACAGAAACATGAAAAATATAATTGATAAAACTGGTGGAAAATAAGCAAAACTGTGACACACGCTTGTAATCCCGGCACTCTGAGAAGCTGAGACAGGAGGATCACAAATCTGAGCCCACCCTGGGAAAATCTGTGGCTCAGTAAGATTGTCTCAAAATAAAAATAAAAAAGGACCAGGCGTGAAGGAACATGCCCAGCATTTAGGAGGCTGCACATGTGAGGTCATCCTGGGCTACATGGTGTGACTGTCTCAAAAAAAAAAAGGAAAATAAAAATTAAACAATTACAAAATTAAAGAGACTGGGCATGATAACACACACCTGTAATCCCAGCACTCGGAGGGTGAAGCAGGACTGTTGCAAGTTTGAGACCAGTGTAGGCTAAAAGTGAATTCAAGGCCAGCTTGAACTGCAGAGCAAGACCCTGCCTCAGAAAATTAATTAATTAATTTAAAAAATTTTTTTAAAAACAGGGATGTAGCTCAGTACAAAGGTCCTGAGTTCAATTCCTAGTATTGAAAAAAAAAAAAAAAAACACAAACAAGTACAAAACTTAACATTTCCAAAATATATATTAACTCCAACAAAAAGCAAGGGAGTAACAAATATGGAATTCCTGTGCAGGGGAAGGAGACAGAGATGTACTAGGAGAGGCAAAGCTGCTGGCAGTGAGTGCTCTGTCGCCAACACCAGGGGTTGAAGTCCCTATTCTTTTTTTTTTTTTTTTTTGTCTTTTTCCTTTTTATTGGTACCAGGGATTGAACTCACGACTGCCTGCTTGCAAGACAGGCGCTTTATGTGCTGAGCTAAATCCCCAGCCCCAAAGTCCCTGTTCTTTACATAGGCAATACATATGCTTTCTGTACATTATTTCACACATAGACATTACTTCATAGAGTTTCAACAACTCTTATTTACATGCTAACAGTAAAATTTCACTTTAGGAATTGACCCTGTAAAATTGGGATTCATTTCTTTGAGCTCTTTATATATTCCAGATAATAGTCCTCTGTACAAAGAACACACGGGAAAAAATGTTTTTCTCATTTGCATTTTTTCCCATGCCTAGTCTGTACACGATCCCCTCACTCTAAGTTACTCCCTTTTTTATCTGTTATGATCCCATGTGTTGATTCTTGGCACTATTTCTTGTGCCACTGTGTTCTGTTCAGAAAGTCCTTGCAACACTTAAGTCTTCAAGAGTTTTTACCTATTTCATCTTCCAGCAGATTACAGGCTTCTGTTTTAACATTCAGATCCTTGACCATTTTGATACTAGTTTAGTACACGGTGAGGGATACAGGTCTAGACTGAAACTTCTGCACAGAGATAGCCAATTTCCCCAGCACCATTTACTAAAGAGACTATCTTTCCTCCACTGCATGTTTTCGGTCCCTCTGTCAGAGGCTGAATAGCTGAATGTGCCTGGGGTTATTTCTACATCCTGTGTTCTGTCCCATTGATCCATCTAACTGTTTTTGTGCCAGCACCATGCTGGTTTGACCATTGTAGCTTTAAAATACAACTTCAAATTCAGGATTATGATGCCTCCTGTTTTGCTTTTGTTACCCAAAACTGCCTTTGCTACTGTGGATCTCTTCTGGTTCTGTATGAATTTTAGGGTTATTTTCTTAGTCCTGTGAAGAATGCTGTTGGTATCAGGCTTGGGATTAAAGCAGTGTTACAGTTTTGGAAATATGGCCATTTGAGTATTTTGCTTCTGCCTATCTAAGAATAGGAGATATCTTTGCATCTTCTGCTAGCCTCTTTGATCTCCTTTTTCAGGGTACCATAGTTTTCATTATAGAGGAGTCTCACTTTTTTGGTTAGGTTAATTTCTAAGAATTTTTCTTGACCCTATTACCAATGGTTACTCTAATTTCTTCCTCAGTGAGCTCATTTTTGGTATACAGGAATGCTACTGATTTTTGTTTTGTTGATTTTGTTGTTACACTGCTGAATTTGGCTATTAATTCTAGGAGTCTCTTGGTGGAAGCTATCAGATACATGCAAACGATGATAATTTGATTTCTTCCTTTCCTGTCCACATCTCTTTTATTTCCTTCTCTTGCCTGATTGCCCTGGCTACTGTTATGAGGACTGTGTTAAACAGAAGCAATGATAGTGGACATCCTTGTCATGTTCCTGATTTTAGAGGGAAAGCTTTCCATAAGGTTAAAAGAATAATAAGACAAGCTTAAATATCACATACTTCCTTTTACAGGAGAAACCCAAAATATAAATAAAGAGCAAAATAAAAGACAGATAATAGGAGGTGGAGTGACAGATCTTTTCCAAATGGGAGGGGATTAAGAGATGGAGAGAGGGAAAGGGACGGGGATGAAGAACGAGCTGAGATATGCTCTGCACAGGCACCAACTCCTCAGAAGGAATGCGATCAGTATGCCTCGCAGACTACAAAACCCAAAAACTGAAAAAAGCAGCACCAAAGAAAGCCATTACTACAGCTCAGCCACTGATGATACAATGCCTAAAAGTGACCTAAATGCCTTTGACAGTGGCGCATTAGACGTGGTACATCTGTTCAGCAAACTATTTATCAGAGGCAGGGAAGAAAAGAGACCTTTAAGTGTGACATGAAAGTTTAGGATAGATGAAGGACAAAAGGAGGAAGGTGTGCACTTATTCCCACTCGCCTTAGTGCTCTTCCACCAGCAAACCTTCCTTTGCTTTGTCCTTGACAGTAAACCAGGATGGACACGAAATGGCCCTGGGTCAACGAACACCATTTATATAATATGTCAAGAGTTCAGTTTAGGGCTGGAGACCCGTTCTGATGGGAAGAACAGGATGAAGAGGCCTCAAAGGAGGTGAGAGTAGAGGGGAGAGATTTTTTTTTTTGGGGGGGGTCTCTTTCGTTTTTATCAGTACCAAGGATCGAACTCACGACTGCCTGCTTGCAAGGCAGGCACTTATGCCACTGAGCTAAATCCCCAGCCCCGAGGGAAGAGATTTAAAGGGTTTTGATTTCATCCTTAGAAGCTGGAACCAATGGAGACCACACAGGTTTCATCTGTAAGCTGATGTGAGGAAAGAGAAGGCAATTCAATTTCCAAAAACTTAAGGAGGCTGACACCTCTGAGGAGTTTCCCTCCTGGAACAAAGCATTTGATATTAAAACACATCTAGCCAGGCAACCAAACAAAATAAAGAACTCAAGACAAAAGGACCCTGTGAAGACACTGTGACTCCACTGACTGCCGTGGTGAGAGGAAGCAAGGGAAGGAACACAGACACAGTAAGAAAATGATAAAAGCTCTGATCACTCAAAGAAAGAAAACACCTCAAAGAATGAGGAGGAAGGGAAAAAAGGAGGTGACCTGAAGTATGCCAGATTTACTTCTGATTTCATGGCAGGATGTCAACCAAAGCATCTAAAACAGAAATATGATTTCTTTTTTTTTTTTTTTTTTAAAGAAAAAAGAGTGATTCTAACTTCTTAATATTCACCTATTTTTT